AAACCTGGTGGCCAACTACAAGAAACATCTGACCTCGGCGATTGCCAACAAGGGTTCTGCCACCAAGTACTAAGTCGAACGGGGTCAAATACTTATTTCACTCATTGACACGCAAATCAATTTATAACTTTCTTGATATGCGTTTTTCTGGATTTTTTTTTTTTGTTATTCTGTCTCTCACTGTTAAAATACACCTATCATTAATATTATAGACTGATCATTTCTTTGTCAGTTTACAAACGTTCAAAATCAGCAGGGGATTAAATACTTTTTCCCCTCACTGTATGTATATATATATTTTTTGTCACATGAATTATTGTAAGAGAAGCGACTGACATCTTTCTTCATTGTCGTGACATTATTAATTGGCACAAAGTCCACAGCATTTTTTTAAAATTTGGACAGCAGTAAATTAAGTTTATGTGACAGCATATTGATTGTCCCTAGTTAATTACCCCTATCTGGTAGTAAAATAAGAGCTGTAAGAGAATATGATGGACCACAATGGCTACACATACATCATAAATAATATTACATCATTTAACTTAAAGGGACACTATAGTCACCAGAACAACTACAGCTTATTGGATTTGTTGTGGTGAGTAGAATCATTACCTTCAGGCTTTTTGCTGTAAACATTGTCTAATCAGAGAAAATGCAGTGTTTACATTACAGCCTAGTGATAACTTCACTGGACACTCCTCAGATGGCCGTTAGAGATCCTTCCTGGGTCATGGCTGCCTAAAATGAATCCAAACATTCTGTCTCTCCTCCCTCTGCATGCAGACACTGAACATTCCTCATAGAGATTTGTTGATTCAGTTCATCTCTATGAGGAGATGCTGATTGGCCAGGGCTGTGCTTGAATTGTGCTGGCTCTGCTCCTGATCTGCATCCTTCTCAGTCTCAGCAAATCCTATGGGGAAGCACTTTGATTGGATCAGGCCACCACTTCTGATGATGTCAGCAGGCTGCTTGTTTTCTGAGGTAAACAGCATGCAGAGCTACAGTTTCAGGCTTGAATACAGTAAGATTTTGCTATATTTATAGAGGCATGAGGGTCCCAGGGGGGCTAGATGGTGGTTTTAACCCTATAGGGTCAGGAATACATGTTTGTGGACCTAGGAATTTTTAGGTAAGCGTGACAAATGTTTCCAAATTATCTATTTTTACCAAAAAATTGCAGTTCTCTATATCACCCACAGATTCTGCAGCGCTGTATAAAAAAAAAAATCACGTTTGTCACATATTGACCGTGAGGAGATTAATGATGCGGAAAGCCCTACTCTCTAGCGTACACAGATTGCTTGGAAAATTCATATACAAAGGTTTTTTCCTAATTAAATCGTGCACAATTTTGTTAATTTTGACCCTGTGTGCAAACATCGATTGTCCATTGACACGCTAGCTGCAACAAAGGGAATTAAAATAGCTTCCAGCACTGAGATGCACGCAAACAATACGGACATGACAGGTTTACGACCATGGGAAAGGAATCGCAGCAATGTTGTTGTTAGCAACGCAATTTAACATAACGTAAGCAACTGAGACCCAACCAGGATGCTCAAAGATAACAGTTCACAGAATGTATTTTTTATGAATGAAACTGCTTAGGACTGCTGAACTGCATGCTATGTCTGTTTATTAGATATGATCAATGGGAGAGCCAGGACTGGGTGAGAGAATCCTAAGGAAATTTAGACAAGAGCATTTTTTATTATATTTATTTCATTTTTTGTTTCTATATGGGCAAATGTTTAAAAATAATATCAGGAAGTATTACTTTACTGAGAGGGTAGTGGACGCATGGAATAGCCTTCCAGCTGAAGTGGTAGAGGTTAACACAGAGAGGGTGTTTAAGCATACGTGGGATAGGCATAAGGCTATCCTAGATGTACGATAAGGCCAGGGACTAATGAAAGTTTTTAGAAAATTGGGAAGACTAGATGGGCCCAACTGGTCTTATCTGCCGTCACTTTCTGCCGTCACATGTTTCTATGTTAAGTATCTTAAGTGAATAACTTTTATAAAGTATTAAAAATTATTATTTTCATGATATTGAAAAGGAGCACAGAGTACAAAAAAAAGGTTTTTATAGTGTAAGATAATCGCTAACGCACAAGAATCTATATGATATCCATCGAACATGTATGATTAGTAGAAATACAAATATGTAGATTGTAACAATTAGTGCAGAAGGAATACTCAAAACACCAAAACCACTACAGACCACTAAAGTAGTTATAGTGTCAGTACTCATCTGGTGCATTCTATGGTGGTAAGATGTTAATCAGGACTCAGATAAGTATTTCTTATCAGTGGTTTCCAAAATATTATAATATGGTCATTTTTTAATTATATTGTTCCGTGGAACCTTAACAGAAAAGGCTTTGAATTCCCTATTGACCTACCTATTTCAGATTCACAGACACAGAACATCTTATTTTATTGTTTTATTGTTTATTATCTTTTTTTTTGACATTCTTTATTTTTTTATTTTTCATTTTCAGTCATGCATCTAAATAGTCATGTTGTAACATTGAACATATTTAAATGAATATTAGTAAAACATTTACACCTCTAATGGGTGGAGGTGAACGTAACTAGGCATACTCGGCTCTATTTTGACGAGAGAAGGGTAAATTTCCTCAATGTTTATCTGTTTTTAGTATCCGTGTTTACGTGTGTGCATGTGTTTATGTACCTCGGAAGCTAGGTTAGTTGGTTTGCCAATGTCTACAGTTTACTGTCTGACCCCTTGCTGGGCTTCGTTGAGTACGCCTATCGCTTGGTTTTGTGCTGATTTGGGGGCTCTTCTAAGTAGCTTGTTCCTGAGTCGGGGCTCCCTGTTTTAGTGTGTTTCCCTTTTTGGGGGTGGTTTGCCTGTCCTTTTTCTTTTGCCCCTTGGACTCAGGTGGTCATAGCAATTGTTTGTTGCACATTTGTGGGCCCTGTATCTGGTGTTTGGCCGCCGCGACTGTCCCCGCGTCCCCCCCCGCCACGGCCCGCTCCGCTCTCTTAGACACATAGTCCATCCATGGGAACCATGTCAGGGCACACTTGTCCGAGCGTCCCTGCATCGAAGGCCATCATCATCTCCATGTTGTAGATTGTTTCTACCCTGTCGACCCATTGTTGAAAGGAGGGAATTGTCAGGCTTTTCCACAGTGTTGGTATAAGCGTTTTTGCTGCTGTGAGCAGGTGTATGGTGAGGCCCTTTTTGTATGTCTTTGGTGGTATGGTTGTGTGATTTAGAAGCATTGGTAGCGGTTCGAAGGGGACATCCGTGCCCGTGATATCTTTGATCGCGTGGTGTATCATCCGCCAGTATGGTGATATGTGGGAGCACGTCCACCAAATGTGTATTCCTGTGCCTTCTTCCATGCCGCATCTCCAGCACTCTCTTGGGATCGATTCGTGCACCGTAGGACGTCTGGAGTCCTGTACCAATGCGTCAGTATCTTGTAGTTGCATTCTTGAAATTTAGTGCTTATGGATCCTTTGTGCGTCAACTGGAAAATGTTACCCCATTCGAGGTCAGTTAATTCAGTCTCCGTCTCTCTTTCCCAATGCTCCGTGAAGCCTAGTAGGCCCTTGTCCCCGTTGGCCTGTAATATGGAGTCGATAGGGTCGATACGCCATGCGCGAGGTGCTGCCTTGTCGTGCAGATGTGCTCTAGTTGCTGCAGTGGGCGGTGTAAGTGATCCGTGCCTTTCATCGCGTTGGCATACCTTTTTATCTGATGGTATCGGTAGTCGTCCAGCCCAGTTGGCCTGCGGTCCTGCAGCAGTTCAGCCTTGGTCTTTAGAGTCGTCCCGTTGCACAATTGGCTCATATATACCCAGTCCGTTGCTCCGAAGTTTTTTAGTTCGGCGGGGCTAAGTCCTCCTGCCAGCGTCGGGTTGTTAGTTATGGGTGTAAGGGGGTTGGAGGATGTCATAAGTTTCTTGGTATATCGCACTCTGCACCAGATCCCCAGTGTGGCATCTATCATTGGGTTCCCTGTGAGCATGTCCCCTCGCGCGGCTTCTCCCAGGCATAGTAGGGCAGGGATCTTCCCTTTTGCCTGCTGCCGTTCTATCCTAACCCATTGTTTAGTGGTTGGGTTGGCGTGCCAGTCGACTAGTTGATGAAGATGCGTTGCTTGATAGTACGTGATGATTGATGGCAGCCCCGTGCTTCCTTCACTCTTTGGCCGCTCTAGGGTCGATCTCCGAATGCGTGCTCACTTCTGGTTCCAGACGAATCGTCTGATAGTGGGCAACGTCTGGAATAAGTATAGGATTCGGGGTAGGACGTTCATTTTTATTGCATTTATGCGGCCGAACCAGGAGATGTACTGTGTTGTCCATCGCTTTATGTCCTGGTGCAACGTGGCGAGAAGGGACGCGAAGTTCATCTGGTATATATGGGCGATGTCCTTTGGTAGCCAGATGCCTAGATAGTGGAGTTTGGTTGGGCACAGTTTGAAAGGGTATTGTGTGTGCATGTGTTGTTGGAGGGTGTTGTCTCGGGCAAGCGTCATCGCCTCCGATTTATCCAGGTTGAGTTTCAGGTTAGATACTTCGTTATAGGTTCCAAATGCCTCTAGCAAGTTTGGCGTTGAGATCCTAGGTTGTTCCAGGAAAAAGAGCATATCGTCCGCGTATGCCGCTACGCGGTGTTCCCTCCCTCCTATGCAATGTCCTGTGATTCCTCCGTCCTACCTAACCGCTTCAAGGAAGGGTTCAAGGGTGAGGGCGAATAGAAGGGGGGACAGGGGGACATTGTCTGTCCCGTGGTTTGAAGAGTGGGGAGCTCGTGTGTACTAGAACCGGTGCGTGATCGGAGTAGTCCATCAAACCTATGTCCGCGTTGAGCAGTAGGGACAAATACTCCTGGGCTATGAATACATAGTCTATCTGACTGTAGTGTGCGTGGACTGCTGAGTGATAGGTATAGTCTCGCTCTTCTGGGTGGAAGGCTCTCCAGCAGTCCACGAGCCCCGCCTTGTACAAGGATCATTGTGCCGCATGCAGGCAGTGTGTGGGGATCGCGCTCTGGCCTCTGGAGGTGTCCATTTGGGGGTCCAGTGGCAGGTTTAAGTCTCCAGCCATCACCAACAGGCCCTCCCTGAATCTCTCCAGCTTGGTCAGTGTCCTGCTCAAGAAGGTGTGCTGTTGTTTGTTTTGCCCATACAGGCAGGCGAAGGTGTATACATGGTCTACGATTGTCCCCTTGAGGAATAGATATCGTCCGTTGGGGTCTGCTTGGGTTTCCGTGCATTGGAATGGTGTCGTGTGTGCGATAAGAATCGCCACCCCTGCTTTCTTGGCGTCAGTTCGGTTCGCGTAGAATCCCTGTGGGTAGCATCGGTTTTCCAGCTTGGGTGCACCTCTGCCTCTGAGGTGTGTTTCCTGCAGGAACACCACGGACGCTTTTGCTGTCCACAGCCGTCGGTGCAGGTGTGCGCGCTTTTCTGGTGTATTGAGTCCCTGGACGTTATTGGACCAGTATGTCAGCCGAGCCGGGGAATACTTACAGTATTGGTCTGTCCCAGTGAGGTTCAGTGGTGAAACCTTCGGTAGTGGTGTCGTCTGGTCCTCTCTCTCCGTCAGCTCCCAACCCATCGTGGGTGCTTGTTGTCGCGCCATTATTGTTGGCAAGTGTGGGGGCGTTATAGGTGCTCTCGTCCTCCCAGTCCCTAGCGGCCCCATCTGTCTCGCTTGTGTGTTGGTGTGCTCCTCTCCGGTCTCTCGGGTTCCCGGCAGTCTCTCTATTCTCTTAGTTAGTGCTCCTCTAGGTTAGTTAGTGTCCGTCTGGTTCCGCTGTGTCTTGTGTACCGCCCGCGTGTTCTGTGTCTCCTCTCGGGGTATCCCAGCGGTCCCATAAAGTTGTGGGCTAGTGTCTCCTGTTGTTGTGGTCAGCGTTTGGCGTCTTCTCCCGCCTGGGGGGCCCTAGTGTTGTAGTGGGTCAACCCCTAAGTGCAGCTATACTATTGTGTGTGTCCCTCTAGGTTGGTGCGTCTGGTGCGTGGTCTCCAGTTGTGCTAGTGTGGTCCTTGGTCGGATCGTCTTTGCGTGCGGTCCATGTCCCTCCCAGTGTTGTTTCCCCCTCTTGAGTGGTTGCCCGGGGGGGGGGTGCGTGTAATTTGCAGCGACTTTTGTCTCGTGTTTAGCCTGTGTGCTGTGCTTGTGTTCTGCCTGCTTGTTTGGCGTGGGATATGTGAGTGGTGAGTGGTCGCTCAGGGGGAGGTCTCCCGGTGGTCGGTTGTAGCCTCGGGTTTTCCTAACCTGTGCATTTCCCTCTATTTGCTGTCTGGGTCCTGCGGCCCTAGTTCCCTTACTGGCGTTCTTCCCCTATGGTCTCACGCCGGTAGTCTGGGCGGGTTAGCCTCTTACGCCTATTCTATTCTGGGCCCCTCCCTCTGGCTCCTCACTATCTACCCTTGGTGCCATGTAGTCTCACCGTCTTGGATTTGTGTTTCAGCTATTTACATGTAATGTAGTGTGTTTACTGCGTTTGTGTGTAGTGGGTAGCGGGGTCTCTCGTCCGGGGTGTTGTTAGGCCGAAGGTACCCATGGTAAACTTTTAAACTTTGTACAGTATAACACCCATGAGTTAAGAGGTATTCCATCCCCTCACCCGTCCCATCCCGGACCTAGTCCCCCCCTTAGGTGTCCCAGTATTCGTGATCCATTGTCCCACATTTCAGACCGCTGTTGCTGTACCATCCCAGTTGTTATTGTTGCGCGGGTGTCCATTGCCTGACGCCCACCTGTGTGCTACCGGCAGGAGTCTTCCTTATTCCCTCCCTCCCCCTTGTGTGCCCCTGTCCTCCCAACCTAAGGGTTCCCTCCTGTTGTGAGCCCCTGTTGTTGGGCCTTCCAGTGGGTCGTTCTACCCGTTGTGCTCCCCCCGTTTTAATCTCCCCCTCCCAACCTACCGGGCTCCCACCTATGCTTCCCACCTAAGGCTATCGGGTAGGGTTTAAGAGTCATTGTAAAATGTTGACAGTCAAACAGAAATGCTAATATACTAGTTGATGCTTTATTGATTTCTCTGATGCTGCGGTAATACTGTAAGTGGCCTTTTTGTTACTCAATGATGTCATCCTGTTGCTGGTTAGATGTCCTTGTTTTTTTGTCGGAAGAGGAAAGATAGACATGTTACACCATTGTGGTTCACTATATAGGGTTTACCTGCTTACTGTGCTTTTGTTGTCCTATATAAACACTTTAGGTAAGAGCCCACCTGTATTTTTTTTTTACTAATAAAGCATGCTGAAACTCAAGGTTATTACAAATCCCACCAGAATGAAAAATATTAAGATTTCCCCACCTGTTTACTATTTTCATGTGTGGCTTGCAGTAGTATAAGTTGCAGTCCAGTCTGTTTGTTATAAGGGTTTGTTATCAAGTCATTCCATACCGGGTCCTTGCCAACATTATTTAAGTTGTGTCAGACTAAACAGAAAGCTAGGAAAGTGTAGAGTGTATATGTGTTAGTCCCCAAGGTGGTGATAGCTGTCACGTGTACTGGGCCGAGTGACATATGGGCCTCTCACCTGATTTTGTTTAGCACAACTAAAATCATGGACACAGTTTTGTTACTCTAATGGAAGTTAATGTCTTACCCTGCATGGGAGTTGTTTTGTAATGTTGTGGATCAGAAATGTTGATCTTTGTTATATTCAGAGGAAGCCCAAATTGTTGTTACAAGTGCATTTGGAGAAGCGAGAATTAGACACCAGACACCTGTTGGTATTCAAAATAAGCCTCTGACATTTTATTCATCAGCTGGGTTTTATACATTAAAAAGTAAGTGCTTACGTGCAAATACTCTTAGAACAGTAATAGGAAGAGAATACAGATAAGACATAGGGATGAACGTCATGTACACAAAACAAATAAGTTCCAAGGTAAGAAAGAGCAAAAAGATTAGAGAAGAGACATCTTAGGTGGGGGCTCTCTGCTCCCGGAACTAGACATAAATGGTCTTAAGTGTTGTTTAAGCATCAAGCATTTCCTGAGTCCAAGTTAGCCAATTTTAATATAGGATATCATTATATGACACCTATAAGCTTGAGCCTTGGAATCAAGATAAATTCTATCACAATCCCCTCTTTTGATCCAAGGGTCACCCAAATGTCCAAGGTATTTCCAGGCCTGCTAGCCAAAGCCTGTGGGACTTTCATTTATTGCTTCACCATGGTTCCCTTGGACTGAGAGACCACCAGAATTAGCGGAGGAGAGTTCCTTCATTTGTTAGGCGAGGTAACATCATAAAACCTTTCCGAAGTCGGAGCTGGAATGTAAGTTAAGGTACGACCAACAGTAGGTTTGCTTTTACATAGAGAGGTTAGTAGACATGAGAAAAATCAAAAGGTTAGAAAAATGGCCATAATGACAAATACAGCTAATAGCAAAAAGTACAACATTTTCTTAATAAGTAAAGTCAACCATGTTCCTAGCCCAAATGTCCAATCCCAATCCCCAAAGAAGCCAGTATCCTGTTTGATATCCTGTACTAAGTCATGTAAATCTTTTATATGTTTATGGATCATAGTGCCATGGTCAGATAGGTTAAAACAGCACATACCTTCAATAGCTTCACAGCCTAAGTCATGTTTCATTAGTAAGTAGTCAATGGCTGCTCTATTCTCAAGGATTGCCTTCTTATTTGCCTGGTTGTCCATAAATAGCTCTTCTAGGGCCTGTGAAGTGGCATGTAAACCTTTTGCAAGGGAACAGGCTACAGCATTAACTACTCGGGTATTATACAGTGCTAAGCCTGGGACTCTTACCAAGGTGTACGCTAGGGAAGAGTATTTGGCTTTAGATAAGAGAGTGATTTCAGGGTTACAATCTGCATTAAGGGTGTTTTTAACATCTCTCCTGTCTCTCAGCAGTTTGTGTAGCTGGGTGGTTTTAGTGATCAGGTCAGATTTGGAAAACATGGTCATGGTTAGGCAAGAGATTGCACAGGGACCTCCTGTAATGTTACCTGTGACATAAGCATAAGTAATATTTCCACAGGAGAAAGTCCATCCTTTAGGAAGATAGACATCGTAGTGGTAACTCATAACTTGGTGAGTTTTGGTACAATTCATAGTGGTGCTCAGGGCTCTACAATTCTTGGTACTTTTCCACCATGTGGGGCAAAACAGGGATTCATTATTAGGGTCTCTTGAACAATTACATGAAAAAGACCAACATAGTTCAGCGCCTGTCACATTAATTGTCTTCAGGGCTAGAGGAGGCTTGCCTACAAGTGGGTTGAAGGCATAAGAATATAGTTGTAGAGATTTATAGGTGCTATGGGTGTGTAGGTACTTCCTCAACAGTGAGATGGGGGTAGGGACAGCTATATGACAAGATTATATGGCGTTTTCAGTACTGAGAAGAGGGTTGAGGCAAAAGGAGGTTAAATTAAAAGCCTTTGCTATCTGCAACCATATATTTTCCTGCCATGCATTATAATTTTCTGGTCTCAAGTCAGAGTAGCATATCCGAATACAGCATAAAATGGTAAAGGATAAGAACAGCTTCATGTCGGTGGATCAGTCGGAGTGACTTGTTTACAGTGACTGGCGTGTATCCACGTGGTTTTCCTTCTAGTTTCACTGAGGTAGCCGTAGTCAAGAGCACTTGGAATGGACCATCAAAGCGTGGTTCAAGTCCTTTCCTCACATGCCTCTTTATCACCACCCAATCACCAGGCTGCAGTTTGTGAGTTGCAGAATCAGAGTCTGGATCTGGAATAGAATCAAAGACTTGTTTATGCATCCTGCCTAATCTTTGGTGTAGGGCCTGAACATAGGCGGTCATACTACCATGCTGCATCTGGAGGTTTTGGGTAAAATAGAGACCTGTCTTTGGGGCACATCCAAAAAGGATCTCAAAAGGGGATAGGCCATGTCTGGAATTGGGGGTGAATCTCATAGAAAAGAGTGCTAGGGGAAGGCATTCAGTCCAGGGCTTTCCTGTGTCTTGCATGGCTTTTGCAATCTTGTTCTTTAAGGTGCCATTTGCCCTTTCTACTTTCCCACTACTCTGGGGGTGATAGGGGGTGTGGAAGGCCTGACTGATCCCTAAGCCTTTCATAATTTCTTGCATTATTTCCCCAGTGAAATGGCTACCTCTGTCACTTTCAATCACTTCAGGTACTCTGTATCTACATACCAGTTCCTTCAGAAGTGATCTTGCTGTGACCTTCGTTATGGCAAGGGTAGGCCTCAGGCCAACCTGAAAAGAGATCAATGCACACCAACACATATTCATACACTCCTACCTTAGGTAGTTGAATATAGTCTATCTGCAGTCTTTGAAATGGGTAAAGTGGCCTTGGTGTGTGCTTACTTGGTGTTTTGACAGCCTGTCCTGGATTGTTTCTAGCACAAATCATGCAAGCTTGGATGTATTTAGCTGCTACAACAGTAAATCCGGGTGCTACCCATTGGGTGTTTACTATGCTGTTCATGTGCCTCTTGGATAGATGTGTAGGTCCATGGGCAATCTGGGCCATCATGGGGTACAACACTCGTGGCAAATACAGTCTTTTACCTTTCCTCCACATTCTGTCATCATCAGGTTCTGCATCTTGTTTCCTCCAGAGGTCATGTTCTTCCTTGCTTGCCTGTCTTTGTAAGCTCAACAGTATATTTTAGTCAACAGCGTCATCTGTAAGAACAACTTGTAGGAAGGTATTACCTGTAGAGGGATGAACTTGAATTGCTGCTTGCTTGGCAGCTTCGTCTGCTTTGTGGTTTCCTCTTGAGATTCCATCTGTGATCTTCACGTGAGATGCCATCTTGATGATGCCTACTTGAGTGGGTAGCAGGATAGCGTCCATAAGTGCACTCACGGCTTCAGAATTCTTGATTGGAGTTCCTGCTGAGGTGAGAAAATCATGAGCCCACCATATAGGGCCAAAATCATGGGCTATACCAAAAGCATAGCGAGAGTCTGTATAAATATTAGCAGTCTTACCAGAAGCCATTTTACACGCTTTAGCGAGTGCCTTCAGCTCTGCCTCCTGTGCAATCAATTACATGCAAAAAACCTGCTGTTTCTTGTGCCATTAGTGCTGCACAATCATGGGGTACCTGTGCATCAGCTAACTCATCTGGTGAAAGTGAATTTACAAAAAGATCAGATGTACAAGTACCATTCCCACTATCCCCACTCCCCTCTTTTAAATCCAGGGGAAGCAATGTAGATGGATTTAACACCATACACCTTTTAAGAGTAACATTAGGTGGCATAAGCAAGGCACATTGCATTCTAAGATGCCTTGCAGTATGTATGTGTTTTGGTTGAACTTGTGACAGTATGCTGTTGATATCATGCGGTGTGTATATGGTCACCGGGTTATCTAAACCAATATCAGTGGCTACGCGGTAGGCCAAGATGGTTAATGTTCCAAAGACACGTCGGACCTACTGCAAGAAATGTGGGCGTCATAAGCCACATAAAGTGACTCAGTACAAGAAGGGAAAAGATTCCCTGTATGCCCAAGGTAAGCTATAAGCTATATTATACACCTATAAGCTTGAGCCTTGGAATCAAGATAAATTCTATCACAATAACTATGCATGGAAAATGTCTTGTTACTTTGTAGGGAAGTGGTTTTGTTACTTAGCATTGAAGTGGTCTTGTTACTTTGTATGGCAGTAGTTTTGTTACTTTGTATGGAAGTAGGTTTGTTACTCTGCCATGCAACAGCCCATACTAAGAAACAATGGTTGCTCCCATAACAATAAGTATGATATAAAGTGTTCATTTCAGGGCAGAGGGAAGGATCATATTTTTTCATTTTAATAACAGCTACCTACCAGTTGTTGAGACTACATTGTAACATTGAATGGAAATCTGAAAGCTGAATGAAAAACAACTGTGAACATTCTATTGCTTCATAAAGTGAACTGTACAGGCCGCAGCCTTGGTGTAAGCCAGTTGTGTACTTATATAACTATTATTCGTTAACACTCAGGAAAGAATTCTGGAAGACATTGGTGTTTATAAAGGCTAAATACAGTTAGGAACCAGACATGTTCGAACATGATTTCCACATAATGTGCTTTGCACCTCTTGTCATCCGACTATATGGGTGGTTGTATCCCATCCAAAATAAACCACATCTATTGCTGCTGATATACTGACCTCCCAAGGGGTGCCAGGGAGGAAATTCCGATGCTCCTTGGCAGTTCCCTGACGGAATTTGTGATGTGTATTATTATGTTTTGGTACATTGCCTACTTCGACACACAATGAGCACCGTACAGTTTTTGTCTGCATACATTTCATTTCACTTAAGCACAAGTGGGCATCTCATCTCCTTGGAATTGCAAAAAAAAAAAAAGAAAAGAATAGTAGGTGTGTAAGCAGGTTTAACAGGCTCAGTTGTTATTATGTAGCAAGAGAAACATTTACCATTCATTTTACAAAGATTAAAGATAGGTTGAAAATATTGCTGAACCTTTTGAATGACTGAAAATGCAAGGACTGCCCCAACATTTTTTAACCCCTTTAGAAGAATGGGTTAGGCAAAACCTGTGATATAATGGCAGTCCTGGTATGTAAACAGTTTTGAAGTGACTAAAATAATATCAAAATAACCAGCACATGTTACTGCATTGCACTGGGGGTATTAAATTCATATTCCTTTCACACTAAAACAGATCTATTTCAAATAGTATAAAGTAAGACTTAAAAGTGATGTGTCTTGTTTCTCTTTTTCTCTATTCCTGGCTAGATGGATGGATAGAAGATGTTGACAGTCAATGCTTTGGTATTAAAGCCTAAGAAGCAATAAATTATATTTTAAAATGATCATTAAGAGAGGCAAAGACTAGCACAGATGCTGACAAGACACCATTTGGATCAGTTCCATTAAATTCTCCAAAAACATATTCTTTGGGGAGACAAACAGCCCTAATCTGAAAGGACACGACTACCACCAACCAAAAATCACAGAAGATCACAAGCCTTCCTCACCACCAAGCTTAGGGGTACTGTGTGGTCTGCAAGCAGAGATCCTGGTGGAGGAAAATATCAGCGGTAAGACCAGTGCCTCTGGATTCAGAGAAAAAAACACACACTAATTCCCAGGCAGATAATGAGGATATCGGCACACTTTTTCAACACTACCCTACTATTAAAGTGGCGGACATGAAAGGGCGGGAGGCCTACTCCACCAGACTGAGCAAATCTGCTCCTCCAGTGGCCAGGGCAGCGACAACCCCTGCCACAAAGCAGGTTATTCAAAACCTACTCATGGATATCCAGAAATTGTTCCAGGAGGACCTGGGATTAATAAAAGAAGATATGCAGGTGGCGAAAGGCAGGCTGAAGGCCACAGAGGACAACATCATGTACCTACACCAGGGCAAGTGCTCAGTCAAAGAGGACCATACAGCAATTACACTCTACACAGATAATGTTTCAAGTAGACATGTTGGGGGAATGCAGTAGAAGTCAGAACATCAAACTTAGGGGTATTCCAGATGCTGTTGATACAGAAGAGCTTCTGCAGTACATAAGGGGCCTCATAGCTACCAATCTAGCCCAAAACATTGTTCTGGATGGGGTATATTGCATCAGTAAATCCTCAGAAGTATCTACCACAGTGGCTCTAGATGTCATACTCTGATGTCAAACATTTCATGACAAGCGACAAATTATGATGCCAGTTCAGGGTTAGACGCGACATGTCTTTGAAGACAGTGACCTCCCCTTCTGTCATGACCTACCAAATTTGACTGTTTAATAGAGAAGATCCCTAGGGTATAGACCAAGCGGGTATAGTCTATTACTGGAGAGCTCCCCAGTCTTTATCAGCGACCAAGGATGGGACTGTTCAATCCATCATTTCTCCTGAGGAGGCACAGGCCTTTTTCGCACCTTCTAAAGTGTGGGCTGCAACAAATTTATGGGACTTGGGCAGAGTCATATAATTTGTTCCACATTCAGGTAAAGGCTCTGGTTCTACAACCTGATCTGGGTGCCCTGCATAAAGTTTTTTCTCCCTTATCAGTTAACTTTCAGTTGTATACCTCAACCACCCTCCTCCCCAATGTATAATGTAAAAAAAATGTGTGGCTGGCTGGCAGGCCTCTTTCTTCTCCAGCACCATTATGCATTTGTTTCCCCCCCAACCCATGTGTTTGTCTCTTTTCTCCCTTCCCCTCTGTGTGTCTCTTCCCCCCAGCCCTTATGTGTGTCTGTTAGTCCCCCTAACCCTCTTGTGTGTCTCTTTCTTTCTCCATCCCCTTTGTGCATCTGTTTTTCCACAACCCCTTTCAGTGTCTCTTTTTTTCCCTTCCACAGCCCTTCTGTGTGCCTCTTTGCCTTCCAGCCCTTCTGTGTGCGTATTTGTTCCACCCAGCCCCTCTGTTTGTCCCTTTGCCATCCCAGCCCCTCTCTGTCTATTTTTCCCTCCCAGCCCCTCTGTCTATTTGTCCCTCCCAGCCCCCCTGTGTCTATTTGTCCCTACCTGCCCTCAGTGTGTCTTTTCCTCCCAGCCCCTCAATGTGTCTCATTCACACAACTCAGCCACATCTAAAAAAAATATAATGAAACATTGATATTTATATCCCCTTTTAATATTATATATGTGTTGTTGTATCATTGGTTTTAAACATCTTGATGCTCTGCCCACGTATTGATAACCACATGGGCATATGAGAATATATATCACATCCTTTCTGCAGATGTGATTCAGAATTCATGTGTATCATTTCTCAACCTCAGGAAAGTATTTCACAGTGTGTTTTGGTGGTATTCATTGCGCTTCCCATTTTTTTGTATGTTTTATCGCTCTATCACTGTGCCCGTTTTTGAGTGATTTAAGGCAATAGGTTCAGCTGCACACTCCATATTCACCGTGTGGTGTTTGTTTATCTTTAATGCAATTTGAATTCCCAATAATTCTTTCTTTGGTAAATAACCCTGTGAATCCTGCGATGCTTGGAGTGTCCCTTTAAAGATGCCAAGTTTGTGAGCTCCCTCTTTGTGTAACATCATCCCCCAGTTATTTGGCTCATCTCCCAGAATAATATAGCAATGTTGTTGCAAAACATACAATAATATTCCATTTTAGACTGTGAGTCAACATGGTTGCAAGTTACAGCATATCTCCTACCGCTTTCAAATGGTGCTCACCTCAGAGATTGCACCTTTTTCAAGGTCTTCACCATGGTTAACCACTATTTTAAAAAAAAAATGTAAACTTATTTAATTGCTGCCACACTTGAGGAGTTTTGTTGTTTGTTTCCTAGCATTTTATCTGTCTCCAGTATAATTTTATTCTCCTACAAAAAACAAACAAAAAAACAAGTAATAATATTTAATACATAGAAATGTATCAAAGAGGGTTATTTAACCCCTTAGTGACCAGACCATTTTTCAATTTTCTTACCGTTTGGGACCAGGGCTGTTTTTACATTTCTGCAGTGTTTGTGTTTAGCTCTAATTTTCCTCTTACTCATTTACTGTACCCACACATATTATATACAGTTTTTCTTGAATGATCTTTCTAAACATACCATTATTTTCATCATATCATATAATCATATCAAATAATTTAGTATAAAAAAAATTATAAAATATGATGAAAATAATGTAAAAAAACACACTTTTTCAAACTTTGACCCCCAAAATCTGTTACGCATCTACAACCGCCAAAAAACCCTGCGCTAAATAGTTTCTAAATTTTTTTTAGAGTTTAGAAATACCCTATGTTAACATGCTCTTAGCTTTTTTTTGCAAGTTATAGGGCAAAAAGTACAAGTAGCACTTTGCTATTTCCAAACCATTTTTTTTTCAAAGTTACATTGTAACACTGATATCTGTCAGGAATCCCTGAATAACCCTTCACATGTATATATTTTTTAAAAGAAGACAACCTAAGGTATTAAACCTGTGATATTTTTACTCTTTTCATGCAACCATTTTACCAGCAATCTATGCCAAATTAAAGAAAAATAATAATTGGTGATTTTTTTTAATACACATAGCAATTTAAGAATACTTGTACTGAGAACTTTAAAGGATCACTACAGGGTCAGGAACACAAACATGTATTCCTGACCCTATAGTGTTAAAAACACCATCTAGCCCCCCCTGGGCCCCTCATGCCGCCATAAATATAGCAGAATCTTACTATATTCAAGCCAGAAGCTGTAACTCTGCATGCTGTCACATGGCCCCTTGGGGTCCTAATTTGCCTAGGCTAGTTCCCCCTCAGAAGAAGACCAATCGCCGGCGGGGCAACGGCGGCGATCGGTAAGTACATGGGAGAGGGAGAGGGAGGAAGGGTAGGGGTTAGTTTTTGACATTTAAAAAAAAAAATTTTTTAATTAAAATCTTTACTGAGTGCCTCGACTCCTCACCAGCCTGATGGCATCTGATGCTCTGCACTACACTGCCGGGTGCCACGTGGAGAAACCCAGAAGTGATTGCTCCGGGGGGGAGAGCACTTGGGTGCCTGGCAGTAAGGGGAGGTATTGCACAATGCCTCGATGTCGAGGCATCGTGCAATACCATCAGAGCGGCTGGAAGCGATCAGCTACATCGGCGTTCCTTAAGGACCGTTTTTTTGTCGGACCTACCTGATACGTCTGCGGTCGGGAAGGGGTTTATACAGCTAGAATGATTTGGGAGTTCAGAGTGACCTTACTATTTTAAGAAAAGTATCTTAAATGGAAACATTCTCAAAGCAGCTAATCTTCCAGTTTAGTTATTTTGCCCTAAATTTGAAATTCACTCAAAAAATTCTCACGTTAATAAATAACCCTGTTAGTATTGATTTATTCTCAATATTAAGTTATTGTTATGCCATTACCATCATAAGGTGCATATTAAAAGGAAATCCGTATCCCGGTGGCTATTTTGTCTACAGCCACATCATGGCTATGACCTCTGGTGACCCAGATTGCACTCATTGACCCAAAGGAAGGCTATGCTTTATTTACACTTTCAAGACCCATTAAATCATTTTATAAATAGATCTTGAAAAATAAATGTATATATAGAAGAGCGGTATTACTAGGAAACCCAAACTATTATGATATCTAAATAATACTATCATTTCACATACAAACAAAAGAAAATATAACATAATATAATACTTGAAAATCATTATACAAAAGGGACAACAACATTTAGAATTATAAGAGACTCCATAACCAAAATATTTATCATAAAGGACTTTCTTCCTCTTGTACTCAGGATAAGTATATTTTATACACAACACACAATAATAGCAGAGAATACAGCCAGGAATGGTACATCTAGTTTGTTGCTATTTTCTAAGTTCATTCTGGAGGTTTAGAGAGAGAGAGCAGCATTAACCAACCTAGAAGTACTCAGTATGTATCAAAATGACTATTCCTATGTAGTAGGTTAAGTCCTAAGCATTGAGCTATCTAACTGACCCAAAATGTTTCTTAAAGTGAACCTATCATATTTTTTTTTTAAGCTAATCCTTTTTGTTTCCCTCCATAGTGTAAAACAGTTTTTACCCATCTTCAATGTGCCTTTGTCATTTTTTGCCCCATACTCCCATATTGCTCAATGGATCCAATGCCACCATCACTTCTCCTTCATGGGTAACAACTTCCTGTCTTTTACTGTCCCTCCTTGGGAAGTATCAGAACACTTCTGCGTAACCTTCCAATACAGTGTTTAGGTGGACAGTATACCACCCCGGTGAAACAATTCCACATGAAAATTAGCCCAATTGACACCTGCTGGCACTCCTGTGGGGAAAAAGGACACTATATACAGATGTGTTGGTCATGCCCCTCCATCCAAACATACTGGTCTAGGGTAGTAAAACCCAGCTCTAAAATATTGCAAAGACAGTTAGAACTAGACTCCTGGGCCTGGCTTCTCTCTAAGCCAACATTCGCCTGTCCCATGGTTTCTATAATATTGTAAGGGCCTTCCCAATTTCCTTCACATGGTCCATTTTTCCTGGAGGTTTTTATCGTAATCATGCTTCCCTTTACTTTAAAAAATCAGGAGGTGTAATTTTGCACATTCAAGATGATGAGTGAGGAATAATTCGTTCTAAAGTTTCCTGAAGCATCTGTAGCCATTTTGTTTTGGCAATGGCGTATTTTTTTGGGGTGGACAAAAATTGTTCATTAGGAAAATTAAGCTGCGTTTTCCTGTCTGCCATACGCTCAAAAAGTGTAAATTGTGTTGTTGATGATTCTGTTTCTCTAATAACCATAGAGGGCTTGTACCCATGTATTTTTCTTTGTCCAATAACATTTTTTGTAAACCTTGATTTCAAAGTCAGATTCATACGTTCTACAATGCTGACAGACTGTGGATGATATGAAACATGATCTTTGCTCTGTTCCTAGAAACATACCCATATAATGTGAAATATTCTACAATTGGAATCATGCCAACTTTATGAATTTAAAATAAATTTAAAATAAATCTAACTTTTAATTGATGCTGGTATTTAAGTGTTTTCAGTGTAACCAGTAGATATCTCATTCTTTGTCATGTCTGCTCATCAGCAGTCCTAGTTTACTCCCCCCAGCACAAGGAGAAAGCCACTCACCCGTTTTCTTACATGTGACAGTTGTGGTGCACACAATTTCCTTTTTTTTTTTAATACGGTAATCCTACAGAGAGGTCTTCATTCTCATTATCTTCACACTGGTAGTTTTTTTTTTGCTCTAACGTTCCTGGGCTTTTTAATATGTGTTTAGGCTGAATCATCCTGCAGGGTCCTGATGTCTTGGGGCAAACAAAGCAATAAACATGAACGTCTACACCAGTCTGATAAACAGACAGACACACTCATAACTCTGTTTTGCAAGACAGCAAGGAAGTGGTTAACCAGATATCTTTCCCGTCATCTCATCATTTGCGCACATTTCCCGAGAGCATTTTTTTTTAAGTCTCTCGGGTGGGGGGATATTCCCTAATCAGTAACAGCCACAGGAAGAGACTTGATTTGTCGCCTTTACTTCTGGTTAACCCTTTTCCTTTTAGAGAGCAGAACATCTACACGAGAATCTTCCCTTATTATTCTTGCACTGAGCAAAATCCTTGGGGAACAGAAAAAACAATGGAAAGAAGAAAAAAAACACACACATAACTACAGTGTTTAAATCCATAGTTAAGGCTCTGAGCCCCTAGCTTCTGTCGATCACAGCTCCCATCATTCCCCAAAGTTTAAAGGCTAATAAAGGCCTGCATGGTAAGAGTTGAGTTTTTATTTGTGGTGACTTGGTAATCTTGGCCAAATAATGTTTCCAATTTTCCATGTTGGCCTAAACTTGTAATTGCTTTGCCAATTCATCATAATAAGTTGTTTAGTGAGTAAACCTTGAGTATTTTCCTTTTCAGGGTACATTCTCTGGATTACTACCTCTGATTCCTAATAAAAGTTTCTATCCCTCCCTAGGTAAATCCTAATCTGCTACACAACAAAGATTACTTATGTACTGAATCAATCTGCCGTCCCTCTCATTCCACTTACCCCTGCTTTCCTTTATTTTCCACCTAAGTGATATCCCCCCAAATTAGCTGATAACCATCATACCCACCAAGTTGCTGACGTCTAAAATGGATGATACCCCTCACACATAGTTGTCAACGGCTACTGTCTCAACATGTAGAGTGTCTGCTTAAACATGCTTCAGATGTTAGATTAAAGGAACGCTATAGTCACCTAAATTATTTCAGCTAAATAAAGCAGTTTTAGTGTATAGATCATTCCCCTGCAATTTCACTGCTCTATTCACTGTCATTTAGGAGTTAAATCACTTTGTTTCTGTTTATGCAGCCCTAGCCACACCTCCCCTGGCTATGATTGACAGAGCCTGCATGAAAAAAAACTGGTTTCACTTTCAAACAGACGTAATTCCCCTAAATAATTGTATTTCAATCTCTAAATTGAACTTTAATCACATGCAGGAGGCTCTTGCAGTGTCTAGCAAGCTATTAACATAGCAGGGGATAAGAAAATCTTAATTAAACAGAACTTGCAATAAAGAAAGCCTAAATAGGGCTCTCTTTACAGGAAGTGTTTATGGAAGGCTGTGCAAGTCACATGCAGGGAGGTGTGACTAGGGTTCATAAACAAAGGGATTTAACTCCTAAATAGCAGAGGATTGAGCAGTGAGGCTGCAGGGGCATGTTCTATACACCAAAACTGCTTCATTAAGCTAAAGTTGTTCAGGTGACTATAGTGTCCCTTTAAATGGACACTCTAAACAAACCAAAACAACTACATCTTTATCTTGTAGTTTTTGTACATATAGGTTGTCCTTTTTCTCTGACAATGTAAAACATTGCAGTTCAGGCACTCAAGGATCAATTCAGCAGGTTTATTGGAACAGAGTGCAACGTTTCAATCCCACAAGGGATCTTTCTCAGCTTGAGAAAGATCCCTTTGTGGAATCGAAACGTTGCAATTTGTTCCAAAAAAACCTGCTGAATTGATTCTTGATGGCCTGGACTACAATTTATGTTCAATTATCACAGGAGGGGTAGCCAACCCCAGGTCTGGTTTCATCAGGATTTTAATAAGTGTGCGGTGTTCCTCTATTTTTTTGTTTATACAATGTAAAACATTGGCATATATGAGAAATGGTAATGTTTACATTTGCCAGAGAACATGCCTGTAGTGTTTATCAAACTGATAGTATTAGAATTACTTCCTCCTTAAGACCTTTGAAAATCGAAGGTCTAAATATTTGATGTTATCGTAATAGCACCCATGCTATAGGTACCCAATGCTTCTCTATGATAAGCATTATATTAGACTGAGATCATCAAATATGATGATTTCACTGAGGACATAGGAGCTATTGACAGGAGACTGTCACAGTACTGGATTACATGTAAATTCTAAATTACATTTCATTTAGAGAAGCACTTCCTGAACCATAACAAGGTCACTGGAATTAAGTTGATATATGGTACCAGGAGATCCCTGGTGTTGGCTTTCCTTTAAGGGCTAGAACATTCATGAATGGTTTAACCCCAAATTCCGTGGCCCCAAAACAGCTTAACTGTTATAGTGCATGGAGTGATCCTTGTTCCTTCCCTGGAGTGGAATCCTTGTTCACTGATGAGGCCCAATATAGCTGAAAGGTAACAGATAACAGAATACGTCTGAGAATCTTTCTACTCTGTTATACTAATTAAAGGGCAGCATATCGGAATCAAAACACTGAGCCAGCAGGTAACAAAGTATCCAAGCTTAAAGGACCACTCTAGGCACCCAGACCACTTCAGCTTAATGAAGTGGTCTGGGTGCCAGGTCCTTCTAGGGTTAACCCATTTTTTTTATAAACATAGCAGTTTCAGAGAAACTGCTATGTTTATGAATGGGTTAAGCCTTCCCCCTATTCCCTCTAGTGGCTGTCTCATTGACAGCCACTAGAGGCGCTTGCGTGCTTCTCACAGTGATTTTCACAGTGAGAGCACCCCAGCGTCCATAGGAAAGCATTGTAAATGCTTTCCTATGCGACGGGCTGAATGCGCGCGCAGCTCTTGCCGCGCGTGCGCATTCAGCCCAGGAGGAGGATCGGAGGAGGAGAGAAGGAGGAGAGCTCTCCGCCCAGCGCTGGAAAAAGGTAAGTTTTTAACCCTTTCCCCTTTCCAGAGCCGGGCGGGAGGGGGACCCTGAGGATGGGGGCACCCTCAGGGCACTATAGTGCCAGGAAAACGAGTATGTTTTCCTGGCACTATAGTGGTCCTTTAACGTATTTTGCACCTACTAAGGTGCTTATGAGTAATCAAACTTTGAAGGGGTATTAAACTCATTTTGGTACAGAAAAGGTTACATTCGTGTTTCCAATTCTAACATGAGCTTCATATATGTTGCTGCCACGTTTGTTGATATCAGTGGCAATGAGGTAATGCACAAGCTCTGGTATACATGGAGGCTATGTAAACCCCTTAAGACATTGAATAGTGGGGTCCACCTGTCTAAAGCATTATGCTATGTCCTGGATCCTATATTCTGCAGCTGCCCAGAGTATACACAGCTGGATCATTAAGACTCTGCAAGGCCCATGATAAAGGACCAAATATTAGATTCTTTATCCACCCACATTCATATGAATGCAATACACAAAGGAAAAACTGGGCTTGGTGTTTGCACTAACTGTTCATACATACATTCATACATACATACATACATACATTCATACGGACATACATACATCCATTGCGTTTAATCTAAATTAATACTACCTAAAATGGTGTCATGGCCAAGGTGACGTTATGAGGTTTATTTAAAGGGTTACTCCAACCACCATGACCAATTCAGTTATTTGAAGTGGTCATGGTTGTAGTAGTCTGAAAGTGCAGCATTTCTGCTTAAAATACTGCACATCATGAAATATTTACACTCGTATGCCGGGGGCTATTTACACCCCCCGACACATGTGACTTTGGCAGCTGAGAACCTTGATCCAGGCTGCCTAATGACCAGTCAGAGCCAACAAGGGGAAGCGTGACTGTACCATCCCTTCATTTATTCAGCCCTCCCCGCTTCCTGCATTAAGTTTTCCCTCCTCTATTCACCCCCACACTCAGCTCCAAGAGTACACATGCGCTGTGAGACGGAAAATGGTCCAATCACAGCCTTCTCTATGAGAAGCCTGCGACAGGCCCATGCAAGGAGGGGTCCTGACCTCAGATGAAAGATGGAGATTACTGCTGGGAGCTTTAACTAGAGCTGGATTCAAGGTAAGTTTAGACTTTTTTTGCAGCTTTTAAATGGGGGTGTAGACCTATTAGTAATGCCCACTAGATTTTTTTTTTATTATTAAAAGAAAAATGGTTTCCCAAACAATGAACTGTCGTGAATTGAAAATGAAATAAGTTTAGGATTTTTTGTTGGCTTTATTGCGCTAAGCGCTGCAGTGCTAACTCATTGGATATCTATCTATCTATCTATCTATCTATCTATCTAGCTAGCTAGCTATCTATTTATCTATCTATCTATCTATCTATCCATCTATCTATCTATTTATCAATTATCTGTCTATCTATATATCTATCTATATATCTATCTATTAATTATCTATCTTTCTATCAATTATCTATCTGGCTATCTATCTATCTATCTAATCTAGCAACTATGTGGGAAAAAAAAATCGGAAAGGAAAAAAAACAAGAAAAAATGAACAGTTTGAATAACAATGTATTCTTATTTTATTTGAACCACTGTCTACATGAATAATCTAAACCAAAATCTTACGCAAATATATTTTTATAAAATTAGCAGAAAACAATTGAAAGCCAAAAGTAGAGGAAATGTCCAGGCCAGAGATATTATCCGGAATCAAGAAAACAGTTTAAACATTTGTGGTTTCTTTGTGTAATTCAGTATAAACACTTAGTATGTCAGTATGATAAATGCAGAATAAAGATTCTAATCTCACAGAGAGATTTAAGGAGATTTAATCAACATTGTTACTTTATATAATTCTATCCTAGACCAGATTTTTGTTATCGCCAGAATTTGTGATACTAATGTCAGTGGTATATGTTAGTATTTACTGAAAGTTATGTTGTTGAAATGGTGGCGGTCTCAATTCCATCAGAATTCCAGTCTAAAGAATATACGAAGTGCATAATAGCAATATCCTTACTATTCATATGCTCCAAATGTATAAAATATATATTTTTTTATACCAAGTCTATTTACATTTTCTGTAGAAATGATGATGAGTGTGCCAAGTCCAACCTTCTCTTTATATTAAGTTCTGGAGAAATTATATTTTGTACATACATCTTGCAAATTCATGCAGGGTGTTGTGTAACCAATTTGCAAATTCTGATAGACAGGAAATCCGATGTCTGATGCTGAAATGCTCTCTGGTATGAAGACGAGTTAAGCTTTTTCCAGGTACCATATTACAACAAGTAGTGCAATCTGTCTACTGGTAGCAACCCACGTTGTGCCATCCTTTAGGAGAAAAAAGCATTATATACCGCCCTGACCTGTCTGTACCTTATATAGCATATGTCTAAACTGTAAGGTCAGTAGTGGGGTGAGACTGGAGTGTAAGGCTTCTATTTGCACAACATACGTCAATGGTGATGAGTAGCCACTTGCTATAAGTGTGACACTACATAAACCCAGGATGGTGGCTAAGTAGCCCAGTATTGGGATTGTCCTACCAGATCCCAGACTGTTGTGAATTATGTATATGAATATTGCGTTCTGTTATACCATATCTTAATTTACAATAACTAGTTGTGGATTGACTTTATTGTTCTATTTCATGAATTGTAAATGAGTTTTTAGTTCTGATGTGTTATTTAAGCTATTTTAGTTGGTGCTCCTGAGTGAACAAAACTCATGTCTTGTGTAAGTGGGATTCATCATCGTCAGTGTTCAAGTGCATATATATTCAATTTCCTTTACAACAAAACACTTGTTTAAATGACGAGGCAAGAGCTGTCAGTTTGAAGTTTTAAGTATCTGGCCAGTTCCTTGTGTTTATGGGCAAATTTAAAGGATTAATTAATGTGTAGCATGAGATGCATTTTGTAAAGTCTGTTTTTCTAAAAATTATTTTAACTCTCATGTCATGAGCTCCAAATGCCATGTTATTACTTTGTAGATTAATAAAAATATATAAAGATAGAACTCAATGTAATCTCAAAATCTTTGTGAATACATTCTTTTTCATGGCTAAATATGAATATATTAACATAAAAAGTACAAATGAGGCACTCTTTGCTGTTCCCAGGGTTTGCCAATAAAAAAAATATTTGCATCTACAATAATATTTGGTAATGACTGTTTCAGGTACTAATCACAACTCATTTCAATATATGGACTAGAAAAGTTTTCAACTCAAGTAAGTAATGCTCAAATAGCTGAAAACCTGATACATGTGTAAAAGTAAATACAGGGTAATGTTGACTTGTTTTATTTTATAGGGATATTTACATTTGGTTATCTTGTGATCTCTTTTTGTCTTTATACAGACACTCCTTTACACAATGTATACTTTATTTTCAGAATGTGATGGGGTAAGTCTTTTTGACACAACATTCCACAGCAATTCAGTATTGTAATGAAGAAGTATGACAAAAGATAAATAAGAAACAAACTATTATAATTGCTAACAAGAAACAAGATGTTACCGAGGATCCTGCTGGATTGAGAGCACAATCCAGAAGAGATGAGGTATAAAACCACTAAGGCAGAGTTACATGGAGGATGAGTTCAACAGGTAATTATAAGCAGTAACGTTGGTAGGTAGGAAAGTGGAGTGGACTGTAGAGCTACTAATTATGTCACAGAAAGGGTAGACGGTATAAAGAACAAAAATGATTCAGGAGGGCTACAACCTTGAATAGATACCTGAAGAGATGTGTTTTAAGAGACATTTTAAAGGAGGGCTGAGCCTAGCTGCTGAACTGCATGGACGCGACCCTCCATTGCTCCTGCAAAAAGAGTGTAAATTCCGCTACCATCCGCGACTCCAGTGGGTCCCAGGCATACACACACGAGTGCCTTGTTACCACGGCACCACGGTCTATACGCTGATCCCCTTTTTGTACACACAGAAGGGCAGGAAAACCCGATGTAAAACACAGGCCTACCTCACGCTCTCACCGGCGGAGATCCTGACGTGACAACTGGAACAGTACATGGAGCTCACACACGAGGTACAATCGACACTCGAGAGGCCCCCGCTCACCGACCACAACATGGTGAGGAAATCCCTCAAATCCCAGGCTGGGGTCCTCAAAGAAACCCGGTACATAGGGACATTATTTCAAAAGCCCCAGAGCCAGAAAATGGTGGCTGGCCCAGATCTGATATCCAGTCCCCACAGCTCCGACCTGACTTCAGAGGGGCAGGGAAGCTCCCATCAACCTCAACCGTCTCCGGAACTACGGGATGAGGGGGAAGACCTAGCGCCTGCCACAAAACGGGATATCAGGCAGCTAATAAGGGAGATGAAGCAAATGTTTGATGCTGACATGAACTTAGCTCGTGTCCCAAGAGTCCAGGCCTCAGAGGAAGATATCACTGATACTCGACAAGCACTGGAAACAATGGGAGATACCCTACACCCGCTACAATCCTCTGACCCTGCATTCCAACTCAGACTGGATAATATGGTAGACCGCAACCGGCGGATGAACATCAAAATCCGTGATATACCAGACTCTATAGGCCTGACAGAACTGTCTCATTATGGAGGTTATCTGCTACACTGTTACCTCACACCTAGGCCAAGAAATTGGAATTTAACGGACACTTCAGAATCAATAAGGCTAAACAAGCACCGCCTGCAGCCCCGCGGGATGTAATTGTGCACTGTCACTCCATACTAGACAATCAGTTCTTCCTAAATGCTGTCAGCTACAAGACCCCACTGGAATTTGAGTCATCCAGGCTCACTTTCTAATGGCGACAGTCACTAAGCCCTATAACCGCCCAGCTTTAACACACAAAGGTGGACTATCGATGGCTGCTGCCAAGAACCCTAGCAGTGGTATGGAATGACACTGTCCTAAAACTTACCTCTCTTGCGGAAGCCCCCGCTTTCCTGCAGGCCTTGGGACTCTCACAAGACACAGGGGCCCAAGAGACACCCTACACCCTCCCATAGGTAAGGGGTCGTCACTCGACTTCGTTCCAGTGTGACAGAGCCCTACTACACGCCCCATACACGTTCACTAGGAGAGAGACAGGGCATACGCTACAGCAATACACCACAGCCCTCACATCACAACCCAAGTAGGGAGACGCTACCAGATGAGTAACAGCACTTGCCTTACTCTTACCAACCCAGGTGGCGCTTGAGGCTCCCTTTCCCTACATCACATAGCCTCATTCATTCACACTGTCAGGTGCACACCCTGAGACACCTCATAGATTTGGCTAATTACACACTGCAGATCTAGACTTTTTTTTATTGTTAATTTGCTTAAGACCTTTTCAGTCACAGTCATATCTGTACTAACTCAATGTTCCTACGCAGGTCTTGCGATGTATCATGATGCTCCTAACTTATCTTTACAAAAACATAAAAATGTGCTGTTTGATATGCCAAGATTATGGTTGTTACTGCATTGCTTGCTCCAGCTGTCATGGCAGAACAAGCCTGTTTGTACCCTTAAGCACAACAAAATAAAGAATAAAAAAAAAAAGAGAGACTCTTAAAGGGTTGAAGACTATAGGAAAGGGACAGCAGAGCCTGGGTGGGAGCAGACCGCCCAGGTGTTCTGTATATAGGCGAGGTATACATGCCCCTCATGTTATGTCCCACCCTTTTTGTAAGGCTCTGCTCCTTCATGATTGGCTCAGGGAAGCAGAGCTGGAAGACAAACGTTACAAGTTGTTTGAGAACAGCATGCCAAGTAAGCTTGTCATCTTGTAACTTTTGCCTTTGAGCTCTGCTGCCCCGCGCCGATCACAAAAGAGGAGGAGCATATCGATCAGGTTGGGACCTAACTACAGAGCACCTAGGCGGTTTGCATCCACCCAGGATCGGCTCTGAGGGTAGGCAGGCAGGCTATTAAATAGGAATAGAGCTGTTCTTGAGAAATCCTGTATCAGTGAATTAGCAGTATGAGTGTAGGACAGGTAAAGGTTACTGGCCATGCTCAGTGATTGGGGAGTTTTCTGCCTATGAATTAATGTAGAAATGTAATGGAGAAATAGCTATGAATAGCTTTATCTTGAATTGATCCTATATGGTACAGGAAACCAATGCAGTGATCATCTAAAGGGGTATTAGAGGAGTGATGAGAATGAAAAATAAGCCTGGCAGCAGCATTCATTACACCCCATTCTATAATCCATTCTATTTATAATCCATTCACATTTTCAAATCTGAGTATAATGTGCAGAAAGGTCCGCTATTAACCACCAAGTGTGTGTATCACTGCATTATACTATAGCTGACTGGTGTTTTGACTACAATTCCCATAATTATTTGCCAGTTATAGAAAATTAGATCCAACAACAGCTAAATGTCCCGAGTTGAAGACACACGATGTAGATGAATGTTGTTCTGTTTGCCTTGAACAGAATGCTAAATGTCACTATTTGTGTCACTGGACACTGCACTTGTACTCATTAAATGACCTTATTGATTATTATAAAATTTATATTTTGATCTCAAAAAATCAATCTGTAAGGTCACATGTCCCACTTATCCCACAGAATGGAACCTTATTGTGCCAGGGATATTCTAAACTCTATTGGAGAGAGCAATCCTAATCTGTTTGCTTATATCTTAACTACAGATGCTGGCAGCCTTCCTCTGGCAGCGCTTAACAGGACCACACACAGCTGCCCTGCTCTGCATAATTCCCTGGCATCTACTCCATCCACACAAAATTCCAGTCCGTAATCACTTCTCTCACCTCTGCGAGCACAGTTAGTGGACTTGTATTTCAATATCACGATGACCTGACCACCAGCGACTGCAAGGGACATGAACGAACGTAAGAATGCCATACAAGGATCCATGTACAGATGCTGGTACCCTGCCACCAAGGAAGTGAAACACTTATGATTCCTATTCATGTGTAGCTTTCTATAAAAAAGATGGAATCAATCAGAGCTATTTACTAGAGTGGGAATTCAAAGGAATTTTAAACTTAATGGAACACTATAGGGTCAGGAATACATGTTTGTGCTAAAATCACCATTTAGGTGGCTTGAATCACCCCTTAATTAAACTAACCCTATTTCCAGAGCTGCATGGGTCTGCTGGTGCTGGCCCCACCCCTCATTCCGCCTCGTTGCTGACATCATCAGAATTAAATGCTTTTCATAGGGAAAGCATTGGACTGGCTTAAATTGGCAAGGAGGCGTGGCTGGGTCAGGGCCTAATGCCAACTTGGCCAATCAGCACCTCCTCATAGAAATGCATTGAATCAAGTTAAATCGAGGAATCAAGGAAAGTTCAGAGTCTCCATGCAGACGCTGAATGGCAGTGCTGCTGCTGCTACATTCGCCGACAATACTCACCTGTCCCAGGGCATCCACGAAGCCTTGAAGGTGAGTCTGCAGCAGTTATAGTGCCTGTAGCTGCTGCACCCAGTCTGCATCTTCTGAACCTCGATTCACGATGAGGGAACTGCAGGTCAGAGGTTGGAGGAGGTGTGGCTGAGGGGCGGAGCCAGGACAATGATGCATCTAAGATGGGGCTGAGTCCCACAGTCAGTCACATTGACCTCAGGTAACCCCTCCTACAGGTGAGACCAGGTTATGTGATTGAGCCACTCCTTTATAAGCAGAGCACACCTTTCAGTCAGTGCTTGGTTGTTTCGTTGCCTGCCCCAGAACTCCTAGCTTTTCTTTCCCTGTGCTTTCTGTCCTTGCTGGTTTCCTGACTTTGCCTGCTCTCTGGATGTTGCTTATTGCCGCCTGCCCTGACCTCTGGACCGTCTGACTTTGATTTCTGCCTTCTTCGGATACCTTTGCCTTGGATTTTTTCTGTTATTTTTATTAAAGCCCCCATGCCATCACTGAAACAACAGAATCATGTTCTCAACCTCAGGATCTCTGTGGATCGTGCTTGTAAGGGAGAGCTGTTACTGCACCTGAGTTCCAGGACTAAACAAGACCTCAGTGATTTGTTACAGCTGCACACTGTGCAGCACTGCCCCAGGAAGCACCTCTACTAGCGATCTGAGGAGTGACCACTTGATGTGTCCTTAGGGAGCAATGAAAACATCTGCAGGGAATGATTATACTCACCAGAACAACTACTGTAAGCTGTAGTTGTTCTGGTGACTATAGGGTCCCTTTAAGGCCAAATTGGATACATTGCAAAAACAGTTGACTTATCCACTTCGACTACTTTGACCTTAAATTTGAAATTCACTTCAAATACTCTCTAAAATAAGCCAGAATGTGTTGCTCTACTGTATAAAAGAGAAGGAATGGAGTATTCTTAAATAATTATGACAGATTAGAGTGTGTTTAATTTAATGAAGCCGAGGAAACAGCTTGAATTTGGAAAATAACAGACAGTCACATAGCGGTAAAAAATATATAAGACTGCACTATGTTCAACCTCTACAGGGCCAGAAAACGGTTAGAACAACACTACAAACAAGTCAAACTACAGGTCACCTAATATACACTAGTATCAAGTATCTCCTCTTTATGAAAAGCTTACCCACAAAACAATATGATGTATTTTATTACCTTGAACAGACAATTTTATCTTATCTTCAGACTGCCCTATAGACTGCAATACAAAATTATAAAACACGAAGCCTAGAATAAACTTTTAACAGGAAATATAATCCAGTCCGCAGGGAGCAGCAAGCCTTCTTTGTGATAACATTGTTTTAAACATTTGGTGTAATTTGGTTGAAAAGTTCATATTATCTCTTATTTGTCAAATAATAGTATGTGAATTGTCTTGACAATTTCCTCGGTCTTTGCAATTATGAAGAAGCACATGAAGATATATGTTTCCCAGTGGCATACACCTCAAGCACGGGTACCCAAAATCCAGGTGTGACAGACCGCCTGGCACCCCTACTGGGTACCTCCGTCCAACTTGCTTCCTAGCCCTCCTCTGGGACACAGTAGTGCTTCAACCCCTAGACGCTGCAGCTTAACTGGGGTCTCAACGTCGCTTCCCGCCCTGGAACAGGGTCCTGGGTACAGCTTCAAGCGATTAAGCTCTCCTGCAGAGAGTATAGCTGATCCACCCAAACACTAGCCCAGAATGAGTTAAGGGTGAAAAGGAACTGCTTTATTATGGCCAAGTTGCCTGCTTAAATACCCAACCCCCAGCAAGGGTCTCCAAACAACCGAGCCGACGAAGTGCCAAATTACCGAAGTCCTGAATTGACGAATTCTCGAATTTCGGAAGTGCCGAACCGAACCAATTTTTTTGCTCATACACATCCCTATCTGGTGCTCATCCGTGGGTACTTTTCTGTTAGGCTCATCATAACATTTTGCTATGTTAGGGAGCTCTGGGAATGACAGCCCATGGCATTTTGAAGGCAAATATATCCTAACTCTAAATCACCCTAAAGCAACATAACCCCCAATCTGAGCCCTAAACCAACCTAATATCTGAATCATGTCATGACATGCTGTCACATTATACTTTGCTTATCTACTTTGACATTCATGCAAAGTGGTTGATAGAGGATACGGTGCAGAAGCCAATACTGATCACACTGTGCCGTATGTGATTGGGCAGGGTGCCTGCAGAAAGACCCAAGATCTGTGACTGGTAGATCTTCCTCAATCACAGCGAATTGGACAATGTGAAACCAGAGGCCCCCAAAGTGAGGCCCAGGTATTGATAGATACTTGGATCCAGGGCCGGACTGGGAAAAAAATTAGGCCTGGGCATTTTTCAATCAGAGCGGCCCCCTAAGAAGGGGGCAGGGCCAGAGAGGGTGTGTTTTGTCATCACTAATAACAAGCACGCCCCCTCTCAAAGTGAGCATGTTGGTTCAATGTGCAGAGCCCCGCTGAAGAGCTCTAGCATGAGAAAAAGGCCCTGTATTTGTTCTGCACAGCGCAAGCAAATTTAATAACATGATTGCCCTGTGTTTGCTTTTAACTTGTCTCTGGTGTCTCCATAAGTGGGATACCAGAGGACAAAAGGGCCAGGAAAGTGCATGGTGCATGTGTTTGGAGCCTGCTTGTGGGATTGCGTGTGTAGTGTGGTATTGTGTAAATAGGTTGATTTAATTTGTGTTTGTGGTGTAATATGTGTAGCTAGGGGATGTAGCGAGTGTGTGCATACGGGCTGTAGTGTGTGTGTATGTGTATAGGTGACGTAGTGTGTGTAGGGGTTGTAGAGAGGGTGTGTTTAGAGAATGTTGTATGTGTTTGCTTACAAGGAATGTAGTGTGTGTAGGAGATCTAGTGTGTAAAGGACCCAGAGTGTGTATAGGAGATTGTGTTTGTGTGTGTGTGTGTGTGTGTAGAGGATTAAGAGTGCACATAGGGTAAGGGATCTAGCGTGTATCTGGAGTGTAATGTGTGTAGTGGTGCAGTGTGAGGGGTGCTGTAATGTGCATATATATATATTTGGACGTATTGTATGTGTGAGGGGCACAGTGTGTGTGTGTGTGTGTAAGAGGGGTGCTGTGTGTGAGGGTGTTCTTATCTGCTGCCGTCACATTCTATGTTTCTAATTTTCTTTGTTAACTCACTGAGGGTTATTTTATATATTATAGATATATATATATATGTGTGTGTGTGCTGTATATGTGTGAGAGTGTGCTGTGTGTGTGAGGGTGCTGTGGGTGTAAGGGTGCTGTCTGCATGTGAGGGTGCATGTGAGGGTGCTGTGTGCGTGTGAGGATGATGTGTGTGTTTGAGGGTGATGTCTGTGTCTGATGGTGCTGTGTGTGTCTGGGTGCTGTGTGTGTCTGGGTGCTGAGTGTGTCTGAGGGTGCTGTGTGTGTCTGGGAGCTGTGCTGTGTGTCTGGGTGCTGTGTGTCTGTGCTGTGTGTGTCTGATGTGATGTGTGTGTCTGGGGTGCTGTGTGTGTCTGGGTGCTGTGTGTGTCTGAGGGTGCTGTGTGTGTCTGGGGGCTGTGTGTGTCTGAGGGTGCTGTGTGTGTCTGGGGGCTGTGTGTGTCTGGGTGCTGTGTGTGTGAAGGGGCTGTTAGTGTGAGTGTGAATTTATTTTTTTTATCTAAATTGATATTTTTTTTTATTAATAAACAAACAAAAAAAGTTATATCCCCCCCCCTCTTCTTACATTTAGCCTGAGAGAAGGGGGGAGCCGGGCTGCCTTCCCTGGTGGTCCTAGTGGTGAGAGTGAACTCTGGCCTCGCGAGATATTCAGCGGCAAAGCTCAGACCTCGTGCAAGGACCCCAGCGGAGCTACTGGGTAGAACTCCACTGGGTCATCTCTCTTTCCCTCTCCGGCCGCATGTCAGTGCCTGAGGGCTGGTGAGGGAGATCTTTGATCTCTCCACCGGTCCATGAAGGCACACAGCAGGGCCGGCGCTCGGGTAGAGCGGGCCCTGCATGGGTCGGCCGGGGAGATCCTGTGATTTCCCCTGCCGGCCTCGGCCCATCAACATCCCGGCCCACCGGGCATTTGCCCGGTATGCCCGATGGCCAGTCCGGTCCTGCTTGGATGCGTTCAAATAAATCAGTTCACACAGTAATTTGAATATTGTTCCTTTCAGATTCCTTTTTATTACCACAGGTAAGCAAAATTTTAGGAGAATCTCTTGAAGTCATTTAAGCAGTAAGTATTGCAGTTAGCTTGTCATTCTCCCAAGTTGATATTATTGTAGGATGCACTGATATTATGAAGTAGTGGTGGGCATTACACAATATGGCCATATGGTGTAAATTAAACACCATATTTGTTTGCTGAAATAGCTGATTTTAAATAGACTTATAAAATGTAGAACTGTATTTCTTTTGCTGTGTGACTGTTCCTTAATCTTTATTTTGCAAATATTTGGATCTCCAAGTCAGTACCACTGCTGAGGAATGCCAGTTCCGGGTGTGCCCCCAATTCCCTTTTTTCTGTGTACATTGTAATTCAGACCTGATTACATTTGGGTTTAGCACCCTACCCCTCCAGTATAGGTGCCCCCTTTGAAGGTGACCACAGGAAAGCATACATTGAGGAGATTCTCTGGAAGGTGTTTGAGCAGTAGGTATTGCAGTTAGCATGTTAATCTCCATTGTTATAATTAGTGTAGGACCCACCGATTTTGGGGTACTGTGATGTAGTGGTGGGCTTAACACAATATGGTCATATGGTGGAACTGAATCCCTATAATTGTTTTCTTAAAATATGTGATTTTAAGTAGCCTAAATTTTTTTTTGTGAATGAAGAGGTTTAAATTTCTACATTTAATTTTCACATATTACAAATACATATTTGTTAAATATAAGGATAAGTAAACATTATGCTAATAATCCCATGACATTTTCCCTTTAACCCCTTCCCGCCGAATGACGGACCTGGTCCATCATGGCGGGGAAACCGTTAACGACGAATGACAGACCAGGTCCGTCATGCGGTAAAGTTAACCCCAGATCGCTGCGATTGCGATCGCGGGGTTAACGCTCCTCCGGCCTGCCTCTGTATTAGAGGCAGACTGGGAGCACCCGAACGTGCTGCCCCTGCAGCAGTAATCGCTCTGACAGGCTGTCAGAGCGAGCACATGTACTGCAGGGATTTACAATCCGCCTTCCTGCTCTTCCGGGTTCTGTGTGAAGTGCAGGGAGACAGATCAGTGATGATCTGCTTCCCCTGTGTGTAAAAAAAAAAAAGTTTAATTAAAATCCCACCCCCACTTTCCCCCCGCTTTAATAAAATTAACCCCTTCCCCGCCAATTGCCAATTGGCAGGGACTACATTTTACTGTGAACTGATTTTTCTTTTTAACCCCTGAGGGTCAACTTAAAAAAGTTAAAAAAATCCCACCCTCATTTACCCAGTCCTAATAAAAATGAACCTCTGCCCTGCCAGTTGATCACTACTTACAGTGATCAAAATACAGATCATGGTATTATACTGTGATCCGATTTTTTTTTTTAACCCCCTTAGGGTTAACTTATTTTTTTTTAACCCTGAGGGGCTCAATTTATCTAATTAATTAATTTAAATATTTTAAAATGATATATTTTGCTAGCTGGGGTGGGTGGGAGTTATGGGAAATTGGGGAATTTACGGTTAGTGCTGCTTACTGCTAGTTAGGGGTTAAAAGTAAAAAAAGCAGCTTAGAAAAATTTTACATCTGTAAAAAAAGTTTTAAGAAAGTTTAGGAAAGTTTAAAAAAATTAATAAGCAAAAAAAAGTTTAAAAACTAGTTTTAAAAAGTAAAAAAGTTTTAAAAAGTTTAAAAAATACATAAAAAAATGCTCATTACCACTACAATGGAAAAAGTATCAGGAATTTATTATAAAAAGGTGGACAATAACCAGCAGCATCAGATATATAAATGAGGAAGACAGGTCCTACGCGTTTCGTTCCACCAAGGGAACTTCCTCAGGGACCAAATAACAATATTCCAACAATAAAAACAGATATAACAAAAGTGATCTAATACCCCCTCCTAATAATCTCTATCTATAGGGCTAATCCCTAAGTTCATTGGTGGATCCGTGGGTGTTGCCGTCGTTCTCCGAATCCCATAGGTGCAAGTATGGTACCTGTCCAGGTGTGTATCATCATCCAATCTCCCTCCCGATCAGATTCGGCGCGTCTGTGTCTCGCCGGAACCGGAAGTGTATAACATCATTCACTTCCACGTTCCAACTGTCTATGCGTTCCAGCAAGACGGAATTTGGGCATAAATATATGTTGCCCTCTGGTGGACGCCCATCACCGCCATATGTCGTATCTAACATACTTTTAAACAAAAATGGTGATTTAAATCTACTAAGAGGAAAACAAAAATTAGTATCAAAACTAGACATTATTAAAGATTAACTTCAGACATCTATAGAATTATGAATGATAAGGAAAACTTTCATTATCACATATTCAAATATAATTAAAGTGTATAATTATTATAAATAACTTAGTGAAAAGTGCAACCAGTTATTAATTATTTTAAAGTGACACATGCAATAAATCACTTATATGAATGATTTTGATGTAGTGATATTATGTTCCAAAAATTATAACAAAATCTCCATTTAATTGGAGTTTAGCACACATACCAATTGTACAAAAGACATAAATCCAAACATAGGATGAAAGGACAACATAGGTCCTAACTGTACTATTCCCTTACTTAAGGATGGCATTATGTAATCTAAAAGAGAAAACAAATACCAAGAGGTTATACAAAGAAATTAAAAATTAAAAAGATGTACCCTCTATTAGAAAGAGGGCCAGTAAAAAAAAGAAGGGCCAGTGAAGAAAACAAAGAAAAAGACCAGTCTGAAAAACTGGTTTAGACAAAAAACAATTGCCAATTTATCAGACCAAGAAACAAATCAAATCTATGCCCACATTGAGCCCCTTAGGCTCCAGGGTTTGGAGTTTGTGAATCCAAATGTTTCACGTTAAGCCAATTTATTTACTCTATCACCTCAACGCCAGTACAGTAAGACCCTTTCAATCCACGCACATCGAAAATTCTTAAATGAAAAGGAAGGACAGGTGTTACAGTGAACTCGGACAGAATGGGTTATAAGTTTCTTTTTGATGTTGTTAAGGTGTTCAAGTATCCTTATTTTCAGGGTCCTTTTAGTGCATCCAACATATTGTTTGCCACACTGACATTGCAGCAAATAAACTACAAAGTCCGTGTGGCAGCTAATCTCCAATTTTATGTTTAACACATCACCTGTTGTAAAACTAAAAAAAGTCTTGGTCCTATCAATCAATGCGGTGGTGCAAGAAATGGTATGCCTTTATGGGGTAGTTGTAATATGTAGCCTGCTCAAGTGCTCCAAAGTGGGACACGGACGCATCAAAACCCTCCATAAAAATTCACACTTAAAACCTGAACTTGTCACGTCTCTTTTACAGCACTGTAACTTCACACTTGTCTAGGTCATACATTGGGCATATTGTTTTACTCAGAAGGTGTAACTGAGTATAATTTGGGGATTTTTACAACAGTGGTACATGTTAAGTGTAAGAAATACAACATATATGTAAACATGCCATTCTCCCGCCCCTCACCACAAACATTGACATAAATTGGTGAAAAAATGGTGACAATATATACCATATAAGATACCCTGGGATGTCTGCTTTATCAAATGAAAGCCCTTTGTGGGGTTATTTGAATAGTCACACAGATAAAATGAGACATAGTCCCGTCAAATCCATCTACGAAAATTCTAACTATAGAAACTGAAATAGCCTTGTCTCTTATATGGCACTGTAGCTTTACAGAAAAGTGCCAAAGGCATACAATGGGAGTAACGTTATACTCAGCAGATGTAGCTGAACACAATATGGGGTAACGCAATTCTGTGCAGGAATAGCACACACCAGCTTTACGAAATACACATTACAAAAACCTTGTTATGTGTGTATATGCCAAAATAGAGAAAACCCACAATTTTACTCCAATATTTAGCAGAGATTGGCGATTAAATGGCTATGTAAAAAGTGTCAAACTAACCTTAGATAAATAGCCTTTGATGTCTACTTTATATAAATATATATTTTTGTGTGGCAATTTTGTTTTCTGTGATGGCTACTAAACCTACAAGACAAACATACCAAATTCTAAAATTGTTGCAAATTGAGATTTTATTTTAGTCCCTGTATTTTGTTACATAGTTACATAGTTACATAGCTGAAAAGAGACTTGCGTCCATCAAGTTCAGCCTTCCTCACATTTGTTTTTTGCTGTTGATCCAAAAGAAGGCAAAAAACCCAGTTTGAAGTTGTGACCTGTAGCTTTCAAAATAAGCTGAAATCCTGTACATATGATGTACTCTATAAGTCAAGTCACATAATTGAATTTATTTTGAATTACATTTTCTAAGCTGGACATATTATGCACACGCTATTATTGGCAAAACTGTGAAAAATCATTTTTTCCCAAAATTTTTGGGCATTTTTATATAATTAATGAGAATATATCTATGTATATGTGACATCAAATTAAAGCCCTGTTTGCCCTCTAAAAAAACGATGTATAATATGTGTTGGTGCAATAAACTACAGAGATGCAAATTGCATTTGAATACAAACAGCAAAAAAAAGCAAAAATGGCCTTTGTCCTTAAGCTTAAGACAAGCTTCTGAAGCTGTCTCCTTCAGGGGTAATTTAGATTTTTATGACATCATAAACATCATTTGTCTTTTTAATAAAAATGACATCACTGATTCTGCTCTAAAAAGTAATCTGACCCAAAACAAAAGAAAACTCCAAATGAAGAGGACAAGGTTTACATACAGCTACAACGGTTTTATTCACATTTGCTGAACAGAGAAGACAATATTATTCTGCATGTCCATACTGCCAAAATTGGTTCAGGTGAAGAAACAATATTTAGTGGGCATTCTGGTGGGATGAATCTGGCTAGTTCCTTGGCCATTCACTCACCAATTCCAGGAAACATCCTGGACCCTTCAGACATTAACACATTGCTGTACATGGAGCTTTGAAGATCACTGTCACACTTCATCAATGCCTGGTGTCTCCATACCAATTGTTGCAGGATGAAATAATGTTTCTGGACATCTATACCTCTCTTTGTGGATGATGACTATCTTTCCAACGAGAGGTATTATTTTTCCAATTCTTCTGTTGATTTCAATCTCTCCAGTTCTATATCATAAGCAACATAAAGCCTTTCTTTCATATCTGACAATTTCTCTTTTTGATGTACTAACAAAGGTAAGACAACTTTCATTTAGTATTCTCATCAGATAGTTTGTCAGTTCTCTTCCTGCTAGGCCAAACCTTAGCACAGCATGTTGAAGAGTGTATCGTTCAAAGAAAGGGACTAGGTGCGCCACACCATCACCTATGTCCACTACATGACCAGTTGCTTTTCCTGAGGAGTACAGAGCTAAAACTGCTTGGATTGAAACGTGCTGCAGGAACACCAAATCCCTCAAATGAAACAGTCATCATCTATTCTCTGTTGGTATGTGGATTGAGAGGTGCCTCAGAAACAAGCACTGGTCTCTCACACAAATTTATCTGTATCCATTTTTCCCGAGGTGCTCCATTTCATCCCATGAAGTCACCACACCATGCTCCACAGAGTAGTTTAATGGGAGGATAGCCTTTCTTACCTCCGCTTCTTATCGAATATAGAAATCCATTTGTCCAGCTTCAGGTTTATATTTTAGCTTGCCTACTGTGTTTGAGCCCACAAATTGTGTTTTTTTGTATCCTGAACATCCAAATTTAATTAATCCAGAACCATTGTCTATAACCACTGCTTTTGGAAGGGTAGCCATCTTGTTTGCTATTCCACTGGTGTCACCTGACCTGTTAATAGCAGCAGCTTCTCTGATCAAAAAGGACTACACCTACTGCCTTGTTTGTATTTAAGTGAGCAAGGTATGATGTAATAATGACAGTTTACCTTGCTATATCCCAGTGTTATCCTAGTTTTTATGGTGGAAGACTTGCTTATCGCTGGACACACTGGACACACCACTTTATTATGCGTGTCATATATGTTTTGGATTTTCAGGCAGAATGGGGGCCATGCAACTACTCTTGATTGTTGCATCCATCCTGTGCAATATAATCTAAGTAATATCGGTACCATGCATGTATTATAAGACCTTTTTCTATTGAATAATAAAAATAATTGTATTTTTAAAAATCATTTTCAGATTCACAATGTACAGGTGGCTGAGCCTTGCGCTGCAAACGTTGTTGCACAATGCTGGTGAGATGTTTTATGTTTTGTAAAACGTGTTTCATTTCATGTTCCCTAAGAATATGTAAAGACTAAAACACCATATACGAGACACAGACTGAAAAGAGGCTAATATTTAAAGGGATACTATAGGCACCCAGACCACTTTAGCTCATTAAAGTGCTCTGGGTGCAGTGCCCCTGCAGGGCAATGATAATTATTGCAGTTATTGATAAACTGCAATAATTACACTGCAGGGTTAACCTCTAGTGGCAATCTACCAGACAGGAACTAGAGGCACTTTTAGGTGTTTAGGCGACTTTTGATTGAATGCTTTCCTATGGATTTGTCCTAATGTGAATGCTGTGCTCGGTGGGTAAAGTGCATTTGGCTGACATTGGGGGAGGAGGAGCCCAGTGCTGAGGAACATCAACACTGGATTCAGGTAAGAGACAGAAGGATTTTTAATCCTTTCTGCGTTGCGGAGGGGGGAGGGGGAGGCGAGAGAAAAAGCGAAGGGGGCACGATATGGTGCTATAGTGCTAGGAATACAATGACTATAGTTTCCCTTTAATTGGTTGCCCTGCATGTACTTGCTCTACCGTAGTATATTATACTGATCCCAATGACAAGGACAGTCCTAGAATAAAATTCTAAGCAGATCCCTCTGTATGAGAGGTAATTCATTTTGACCTCTCGCTGTCACTGCAGGTGGTTCAGTATGGCGTGCTAATGATATAGGCTCCTTCCGTAATGGCATAGGCCAGATAAAAAATGTAAGACTTTTTAAGTGAGATTACCAAAAAGTGTTTGACTTCTTGTAAAATGTAAAACTGAAATTTTTGTGTGTGTTATTCCTTAATTTGTATTTTGTATCCGTATTCCTTTATTTTGCTTCATTTAAACTCCCTGAACGGCAA